GTAGGATTAACTGTGGTATTTTATATTTTGCTCCTCTCAATATGTGCCCAAGATAACCAATCTTGCGTTTTTTAATTAATTCAAAGAGTTCTCTTTCCACGCCGGCTCTATTAAGAACGGCATCGTTTCGAACTCTATCCACCCAAGGTATGCGCATCATTCTTCTCAATGACCACATTTCAAATGCTTCAAGTTTGTTGATGGATGTTTTTTTCAAAGTCCACGTTTCCATGTCATGAAGCAAGATGGACCATATGTAGCACTTGACCATTCTGTAGCGTATTTCGAAGTTTAGGTGTTGATTACATAGGAGCGGTCTAAATTTCACAAAAGCTTGTCTTGCCATTTGTATTCGGGTTTTTATCTCGTGTTGTGGATCCGATTGGTCATTGATTGTGGTGCCAAGGTATTTAAAAGTTTTCACGCGATTTATACGATTGTCACCTATGCATAATATCGGGTTTTCTGGAGGGTTTCTGCTAATGACCATATATTTCGGGACGGGACTGATTGAGTCCATTATTGTTATGTCTAGTTATGAATACCATATCCCTATAATTGAATTTATCGCTCTCTTTCTCGTATTGCCTTTTTATGATCTTTAATGTCCCTAAGTCGATCTTAACTCCATCTAACTACCTAATTCTCGGTCGGTCTCTGCTTCTTTTTCCTGAAGGTGTTCCTGTCGTTAGCTTTTTAGCAATAATATTGCCAAGCATTTGTATTATGTGTCCAGCCCATCCAAGTTGCTGTGGTATAATGAACGTTACGACATCTGGTGCATTAAATATTTCTAAACATCTCGTTTGCTATGCCGTATTATGTCAGTGTCACCAGTGTATGCTAAGATTTGTATCGATCTATTGTAAATAGTACGGCCGTCTCTTTTTCGTGTATCTGGGTCTGCCTTTTTCAAGGCAATGTTAAATAGGAGGCAAGCTAGGGCATCCTCTTGTCTGAGTCCATCCTTTGTCTCAAAAAATCGAGAGTATCCTAACACTAGCTTTTAAGTTAGACATTGCCATTCTCGTTAATTGGATACGTTTTTCTGGTATACCCAAACTTACAATTGATTTGTAGAGTACTATCCTCTTGAAACTGTTATATGTGGCCTTACAGTCGACGAATAAATGATGGTTTCAATTTTAAATTACTTTTTCCCGACGATATGTCTTATTGAGTGAATCTGGTCAAGTATGCCCACTGTTAAAGTTGTAGTCTTTCGGGGAGAATATTTGCTAGTATTTTGTAAGCAGTTGTTAACAGAATTATACTTCTGTAGTTGTCACACTGGAGCTGATCACTTTTTTATGTAGCGGGCACGAGACCATTCACACCGCATGGTTTTGTTTTGAAAGATAAAAAGTAAAAGTTTATGTAGTGTTTGTACAGGCGTCACCACATTCTTGCATTCCTGGGATTGTATTTTTAGCTTTTAATGCTTGGACAACCTCTTCAGTGGTAGGTGGTCTTTCGGCCTTTCGGTCTTACGTGTTATCTAATTCTTTGATATGATGGCCATTCAATTTTGCGTCGAAAAATTCAACCGATTTGTTCAAGATTGAGGCCGTATCACCTAGGATATTTCATTCTCCATTCTTTACAGCCCTATTCTTTGCTTAAATTCTTTTTGTTTAGATTTCTGTAAATCTTTCGAGTTTGGTTTTAAGATCTTAGTCATTATATGCTTTCTAATTGCTTTTCCTTAAATTGCCTTTTTTTCTTCCAGCTAATATTTTTTCTTCTCTTCTTAGCGGCCGGTATTCCTCCTTTGCTCTTCTTGAGAATCCAGCTTGATTTGTCTTTAGGTATGTCTATTTTTGTTATCTGTTGCTTCTTGGCACACCTCGTCAAATGATTCGTTTTGTTTAACTGGTTTGGTTTTCCTCAATATTTCCATTGCCCATATATATATATATATATTATATATATATTATATATATAGATATATATATATAATATATATATATATATATATATAAACACGACATACTTTCGAATATGATCATACACAAAGTGTGAACAGAAGAAAATTAGTATTAGTACTAAAAAGTATTAGTACCATGGATCATTGAATCACGACAAATTACATAAACCTCCAACCACTGGGGGACAACAAAAAAGTGGTAAGTAAGAGAATAGAAAAAAAGTTTTGTTTTGTTTGCAATTTCCATATTATTTTCGAAGATTTCCTAGTTCTTTTGGTAGTATTTGTTATGTTCTTATATCATTAATTGTTGGGGAATTAGCTTTTCTAAATTACTCAAAAATACTTATTATGCAATATAATGTACTTTTAATAAAATTAAAATAACGGTAACGATATGGAATGCACTTTAATTGCTTACTCACAAATTTTCTAATCGAAAATACTCCCCCAGAACAAAATCAAACTAGCGTATTAAATACATTGTTAATTTTTCCAGCACATTTGCCTCATTTCCCGTTTGCTAAATGGATGTGCATAAGTTTATTTCGACAATAAGTGCCATGAAACTGGTATTCATACACACGCGTAATCATATTTCTTGCACGATTGGTTATCGTACTGCTCATTAGCCACAAAAGGTGTTCAATAACCACAATATGAGCAACCAAAATCAATATTTCGTTTGAAATTATTATGCCGATATATTTAAAAAGCTATGTTACCAACTGCTGTAAATTGTTTAAAGTTCTTGTTTATCTATGTTTATATATATATATATATATATATATATATATAATATATATATATATATATATATAATAACAAAACAATAGAAGACGAATCTAGGCATCTAACAGAAATGACGAACTTACCAAAACAAGGCAGAAAGTACATTGGATTAACCATAAAATACAAAAAACCATGAAAAAATCACGATAATCACCAAGTCAATCTCCAGACGAAAATAAAAGATACGATAGAAAGAATACTCAGACGATATAAAAAGATAGAGATACAAAATACAAGAAAAAGTGAAAAAAGTATGAAGTACACAAACACTTCCAAACAATTCTTCGAAAAAAAGATTTAATACTATATATATATATATATATATATATATATATATATATATATATATATATATATATATATATATATATAAGATAAATTTAACCACAAAAACAAGCAGATTGAAAATTTAGATACAACAATCAAAGATGTATAATAAAATTAAACTTAGATACTAATAAGTTTTTAACGAGATCTGCAAATACACAAATTATGTTCTATAGATAAATTCACATTCAGATGGCAGCGTTACAGAGATAGGCCTGTACTTTCTATATGCCAGAAATAACTTCATTGGATTGAGGCCATGTTGCCTCTTATACCAACTTTCTCCAAGGTTTGTAAGAGTTTAGGAATACACATAAGCAAACTTTATTATTGTTTAGAGCTTCATACACTTTTGATGTTAGATTTAAAACGGCATCTTGTGTGGAAGTATTTAGCTTAAAACCAAATTGTTTAGCAGAAATTAAATTATACTTTTTGATGTATGGTTTAAGTCTATTATTCAGTAATAATTGAAATATTTTAGACATGTGTGAAATAAGCGATATAGGTCGGTAGTTTAAAGCAAGAGTTTTGTCTTCACTTTTGTATATTGATATGACTACTGCTGTTTTGAAAGGCTTTGGGCCGTATTCCTTCTTCAATACATATATTGATAATGTGAGCCAATGGTTCGAGTATGTATGATGAAATTGTTTTCAAACATTCTGAATTAATATCGTCAATGCCAGTTGCCTTTTTACTTTTCAGTTGATTTATTGTTGTTTTCATTTCAAATGTATTTGTAGGTAGTAAAACCATTGAGTTTGTCAAGGAGGTATTATCATACACCTGGCGGGAGTTGAGTTTGTTCACCAATATTTTGCCATCTCCGAAAACGTTTTATTAAATTCATTTGCAATATCGGAGGTACGAGTCAATATATTTCCCATTTCGTTTTTAAGACTGTCGATAGGCATTTTTTCTTTTTTTGTACCACTAAGATCTTGCACTACACTTCATAATTATTTATTGCTATTTGAATTCTCTAAAATCTTATTTTTATAATAATTCCGTTTTGTATTGTTCATAAGTGAATGCAGTTTATTTCTATATGCTTTATATTTTAGCAGTAAATCATGGTCATTCGGATGAAGCTTCGTTAGTCGATACAGTCTATCTTTTTCACTAGCGGATTTTACTAAAGCTTATGTAATCCATGGATGTAATTTTTGTATTATTTTTTTCTTTTTTTGTTTTCATAGTAAGTACATGTGTTGATATTTTGCTGGATAACTGTTATTAATTGATCTGTTGCTAAATCCGGGCTACTATTTTTTAGGATAAAGTCCCAAGATTGTTTAGAGATAATATCTATTAGCCTTTTGTAGTTGATTCATTTAGCATAATAGTCATTTGTCTTTCTAGTTGTTTTTTTGCTAAAAACTATTTGTAATGCTATTGCAAAGTGATCTCTTATGTCAATTTCTATTACTAGAGGAATAATATTCTCTAAACTATTGGTTTTTGATTTTACAAATATAATATGATCTAAACAAGCTGTTATTCGAGTTGGGTTATTTATAATGGATGTAAATCCGCACTCACTCAGGATACTTATATATTCCATGGTATCATCATTTAAATTCAATAGGTCAATGTTAATATCTCCAACAAAGAGACAGTAACTTTCAGAGTTGGTAGCATTGTTGTGTAAAAACTGTTGTAAATTATTAATAAATTCAGAAATACTCGAAAACTATAGTTTTCCTTAGAGGGTGATCGATAAAACGCAAGAACCATAATTGTATAGCTATTATCAACAGTTAATTTAATTTTTAAAATATTGATTGGTCCTAATTTTACGATATCGTAGGTGAAAAGATATTTGCACCGTATGTATGCCACAAACTCCGTCATTTTGATTTAATTCTCCCTTATTATATAAAACGTTATAGCCTGGTATGTTAAACAAATTATTATCAATAATTTTCCATGTTTCAGTTAAAACAATTACATCAAAACTTGTAGTAATATCAGTTAAATGTAGCTTAAGTTCATCTAAGTTTTTGGATATGCTTCTAATATTATTATGAACTAGAGTAAAGTTGTTGTTAAATTGGTTTGCCCGTAAGATATCATCACAGTCACTAAAGTTTTTTACAGTATATGTATCGACAGTGGGCAAATCAAAATCTCTTACGTATTGATCCATGATAAAAAACAAAGAAAAAAAAATATCAAATATCTTGTAACAATGACTTAGTACAATAGTAGAGTGTAGTTAAGAAAATATCGACGCAAGCCATTGCGGCGTAAACAATAAACAAAATCAAAATTAGCTATCAACGATCAATGCTACAACTAAGACGAAGCAGAATATTTGGATTGGATTGATCCCGTACATAAAGATACTTTTAGTTGAATGCTTCAACTCGAGTATACATTCATTTTATGTTTAACATTTTTTGGAGACTAGTATTAGGTATATAGATTTCATTTATTTTTTTAGTTCTACTAAAAAATTTACATTTTGAAAAATCCAAAAAAGTTGATCCGCCTCTGTTAGTAAACTTCAAATAAAATATCTTTTCTAAAACCATTACGGCAAATTATCGTTGCTTCAACTTTAAAACAGAATCTAGGATATTGAAAAGATTAACAAATAGAAAGGATACCCCGGAACAAGTACACCGAAATTACTTTTTCTAAAAAAGTTTTCCAGACATCGTTCACTCTGGATTTATCTTCTTTTTAGTGGCTCGATTTGATTTACATATTAAAGTTTGGGCACGTCCTCTTAAATGCTTAAAAGTTTTACTTCCATTTTGCAATAAGCTAATTAAAGAAGAAGTTTCAATATAATGATTGTCTCATGATATTGGAAACACCTTGAACCTAAGTAGATTTAATAAATAATTGACAATGTTGGGACCAATTACCAATGGACAGATCTGCATTTATAATTACACATTCGGACAAAAGTAGAGAAATATTTTGACATTATTTTTAAATCTAGATTGTTTAATTATTTTTCTAGATTACTCTATGCATGGTGTCACATTTTAATATATGTATTGTGTTTTAAAAAGTTAGAGCGCTTTTACGGTCAAGTAAGATGAGCGTTTTTGATGGTGGAATAAATATTTTTATCGAGTCAATTTTATAATATTGTATACTATTTTCAAAGAAACATGTCTAGAATAAACCAAACCTCACTCTTGAGAATCAAAATCTTTCCTATACAAACAAAATAAAATTCCTAGGAATGATAATTGGTCAACAGTTAAATTAGAAAAGTCATATTCAGCAGTGAGTTTTTTTATGTCGAAATGGCCTTAGTTTGTTAAAATACCTAGCTCACAGAACTTAGGATGCTGATGGTAAAACACTGCTTATGTTATATAGATCCTTAATTCGTTCTAATATGGATTATGGATGTGTAGCATATGAATCTGCCAGCAAAACAACGTTAAAACCTTTGGATACGTTACATATCACTTCCCTGAGGATTATAATTGGGGCATACAGAACAACTTCCATAAATAACATACAAGCTAAACGAAGTGAACCCACGCTAAAGCTTCGTAGACAGCTGTTAACACTAAACTACGCTTCTAACATACATGTAAATAAAAGAATTTCAATAAATAACATTTTAAACATATCTATGATGAACGACTCGTCAAATTTGAATCTTCCATATTCCCGCAGAATCCATCATGCAATAAAACTACTCAACTAAAATCAATTTCCACCCCTATATCAATAAAAAATATATCTTCATGTCCACCTCGGACTGAAAAAATTTCAATACTCAACTGTAGTCTATTAAAATTACAAAAAATAGCACTAATCACAATCTTATCATACAACACTTCAGAGATCTAATTAACTCTTATTCCGATTAGACAGTATACTACACAGACGCGTCTAAAACTGAAAATGGAGTCGGGGTGGCAATAATTAACAACACAGAGATTCTCAAACATAAAATTCCAGATACTGCAACCGTATTCAAGGAGAACTTTATGCAATCTACCAAGTATTACTACATGCAAATGCGAATAAGGTAAACAAAATGATAATCGTGACAGATTCTATGTCATCACTACACCTAATCAAAAAAATATAGACTCATCATCCGTTAGCTTTACTAATAAAGGAAAAACTAAATAAATTACATACTAAAGATATAAGTATCAAGTTTCTTTGGGTCCCATCACACTTTGGAATGACATATAATGAAGCAGCCGACCGAAATGCCAAACAAGCAAATGATAACAGTACCCAAATGTTGGTCCAATCTGTTAGTATGGATATAAAAAGCTATTTTATGAAACATATTTTCGAGATCTGGGACAATAAATGGAAATCCACACCATCAAAGCTTCAGAAAATAAAAAATAAAATTGGACCATGGCAACCACCCGATGTATCTAGACGAAAGCAAATGATCATTTCCCGTTTACGACTTATGCGGTTCACTTCTTACTGTAAAACATCTGCTAGTGGAAAAGTGCGAAAAGTTCAATTTCCATAGAATTAAATACCATTTACCAAACAATCTTAAATTTCATACTGAATTAATCATGTCCAGAAATTCAAAAAATTATGGTTGGCTTATGATCTCAATGGTTAATTTAAGAGAACATCAAATAGTTGGTACTGTTTTATGATAGTGTATAGTATGATCATGCAAAAGGTGGTAGTACTCTGAAATTGTCTGCTTTGTCTGCATCATTGCAGACAGTTTTAAATTCACTAATAAAATTAATAAATTTATCACCCATTGAAAAAATACTGTTATAATTGATAAGCGTTTAGCTAACTTATTACGTAATTATGACCGTTATGCACCGAGATTTCATTATCTGCCAAAAATACATAAGCCTACATTGAGCATCAGAATAATTTTTTCCTCAATGAACTCAAAGTTTTAACAACAGAGATCTTGTCTAAATCTTATTATTATAAAATGGCTTTGAACATCGTTAATTGATTTCAATTTAGTGAATTCATCAGTGAATTCCAGTTACCACAAGGGTACATTTTAGTTATAGGAAATAGCTGGAAAGTTTCGAAAACGCAACAGCGGAAAAATAACAGATAATGAAGGCAATCTTGCCATAACCAAAGAAGATAAAAAAAAAAGTATGGGAAGTATACTTGGGGAAACTTTTCCATGACCTTAGAACAGTACAAGAGCCCACCGTTGAAGAAAATTCAGGTCCCGAAATCCTACCAGAAGAAATAACGGCAGCCGTCAGACAAATGAAGGATGGAAAGACACCGGGACTTGATGAAATTCCTGCAGAACTGCTGAAGCTATTAGATACAGAACAAATAAAAATAATAACTGATATATTTAATGAAATATACAAGGCAGGAAAAATACCAGTAGAGTGGCTCAAATCAGAGTTCGTACCATTGCCCAAAAACCAGGAGCAAAAGTTTGAAGATTATAGGACAATAAGCCTAATGAGCCATCTGCTAAAGCTGTTTTTAAAGGTCATCCACAAAAGAATTTACCGGAAATGCGAGGAACAAATTGCGCCCAATCAGTTTGGATTTGTGAACGCCGTTGGTACGAGGGAAGCTTTATTTAGCGTGCAGATCTTGTTTCAGAAATGTAGAGATGTCAGCTGTAATATTTTTGCATGCCTGATTGACTACAAGAAGGCTTTCGATAGAGTCAGGCATGAACAAATGATGGAAGTGCTGAAGAGGACAGGGATTGATGGAAGATACTTAAAAATTATAGCTAATCTGTATTGGAATCAATCAGCGGTACTCCGAATAGATGGAGAATATACAGAACAGGTTAAAATCTTAAGAGGAATCAGACAGGGGTGCATAATTTCACCACTGATATTCAATTTGTACTCGGAGCACATTTTTGAAGAGGCCCTAAAAGATATTGATGAAGGCATCTCAATAAATGGAGTCAAGCTTAATAACCTGCGGTATGCTGATGATACAATAGTGTTTTCCAATACCATAGAAGGGCTGCAAAACTTAATGAACAAAATAACAGAAACAAGTAGAACCTATGGACTGGATATAAACACCAGCAAAACCAAGCTAATGATCATCAGCAAGCAAAACATAACTGGAGCAAATCTGTATGTGAACCAAATGAGAATTGAACGTGTCTCACAATACAATTACTTGGGAACTATAATCAATGAGTCGTGGGACAATACCCAAGAGATTAAATGTCGCATCGGAAAGGCCAAAAGTGCATTCTTGGCTATGAGCTCTGTGTTCAAAAGCCATGACCTTACCCTGAAAACAAAAATAAGGCTCCTTAAATGTTACGTGTACTCAGTGCTTCTGTATGGAGTAGAAACGTGGACATTGAAGGCGGAAACTCTATCAAAACTTCAGGCGTTTGAATTATGGTTATACAGAAGAATCCTGAAGATACCATGGACAGACAAAGTCACCAATGAAGAAGTACTGCGGAGGATGAACACAACCGCGGATTTGGTCAACATTGTGAAGAGCCGTAAGCTGGAGTACTTGGGACATATAATGAGAAATCAAGGCAGATACGAGCTACTCCAATGCATTTTGCAGGGTAAAATTGAAGGAAAAAGAGCCCAGGACGAAGAAGAATATCCTGGCTTGCTAACCTGAGAGCATGGTATAGAAAGACCTCAACACAGCTATGTCGTATAGCAACCAACAAAATCATCATAGCCAGAATGATCGTCAAGCAGCACAAGACAAAAGGTCACACATTTAATTTATCAGATGTTAAGATCTTCAATATAGAAAATAACTATAAAAACAGATTCTTTCTCGAAATGTCACACATAAACCAAAATTTAATAATAAAACTTGTTGGCCCTAATAACACATATGAATCTAAATTAGTGCCGTTTAACACGTTTGTAGAATACTATGTGTCATTCGAATGCAATATATTTCATAAAATAATGATGCAGCAGTACTGCTTGGATTAGTGATCACTGTAGTAGTGTCTGTGGCTGGAGACTGAGACCTCGAAGGCTGAAGAAGACATTGAAGGGAATGTCGAAAACTCGGCGCAATGATAATCGACGCAGTGAACATGAAAATTTATATTAATTCCTGTAATAATATTAATCTTAGGTCTAAGTTTAATTGTACTAACTGCGGAAACCTTTCGGAAACATTATACGAAACAAATAGTTTTATATAGAAGGAATTTACCGTTTACAAATTTTA